TCTTCCTACCAATATGACCAAGTTGCGAAAACAAGGTCAAACAACCTCTATACAACGAAAGAAGGCTGCGACCACACAAAAGGCCAAACCATCTTGGTCTTCATACTTAAGTTTATTGTTGCGCATTGCCTATACCTAAAATAAGCGTACCATAACTAACTCACAGCCCAATTCTTGCCATAAATGGCAAAGCTGACTTACCCCCCCAAGATTGTGATGATACTGATTGAAAAATCTTGATCATATGTCTTAACAAAAGTCTCCATCTTCTTTGATAGAACGATTTATTGACTTCGAAGTCTATGGACGTCTTAATGTATTACTAGAGACAGAATGTGAGAAAGTTAAATTGTAGATAGTTCCGGAACTTGTGCGCTTAATAGACGAGTGTAAAGATTGGCCAACCTCCCCACCCCCGGTAAATATTCTTTACCTACCTGGAGTATAAGATTAAGGTTTTCCCATTTGAAGTTTGCAGAAAGTTTACCATAAGAATAATTGTATTACTTGTTACAGCCTGAAAAGCGACAGCATTCGTCCTTTAACAATATGGAAGCATCATTCCAGAGCTGATCTTGACACCTCGTTCTGATATCAGGATATCTTAGGCTCTCGCATTTGCTGGATAAACTTTCATTTCGTATGAAACTGCATGAAGAAGAGATTCGAAAGTCGATCTCACTAGAAGAGGACAGTTGAATCCACCCTCGTTTCAGATGGAAATGGGCTGTGCTTTCGTCTATCATATAATGGACATCATCTAAACTGGAACTCATTCCTGTAAAGATCTCATGTTAACACTAGGAATCAACCGTCCTCTTCTGGTGAGATCGAATTTCGAATCCCTTCTTCCTGCACTTTCATACGAAATGGAAGTATCTCCCACAATGTTGTCTCAGGATATTGATCTATTACTCTTAGTATCAAGTGTCGTCAAGGCTTTTCGTATAATTAGTCAGTTTTTATATGTTTTCAAATAGTCTACAGACAGTGATTATGGAATCGCTTTTAAGACAGTCGGCCTGACATCACATGGCATTGCACTAAGGATGCCGAGCAGGACAATATCCCACTGGCCTCGAGGAGATTGATAGAGTCCTGTTATGCGAAGGCCTGAAGGCAAGCAAAAGACTCGAGCTAGTGGATTCTGCCAATCCGGATGCTTCGCATCTGATTCAGCTAGAATTTGGCGTTTGCAGACAGTGTATATTCGTTTTAGTCAAACCGATGGACTATTTATGCGAAAATGATGAAAGGCTATTTCTCGTTTTATCATATATATGGTAAAGGGTCAGTTTATTTAACATGAATTCAAGACAAGCCCCCCGAATCGCGCATTGCAAGGCAGCAATAAAAGGAGAACGGCTGCCTTCTCATCAATCATTGATGATGGTGTTATGGGAGGGTAAAAATGAAAAGAAATATTTGCTGATATTGTCGTTACAACCAACGAGTTCTCGTCTTGCTTAACTCGTTCATACTGTTTCGGACTCCGCTGTTTTGCCTGCCATGTATGCTATACTCTGACATTATTGCTTGGCCCAAATTGCATTTTCTAGCAAGTTACCACTCTGCATCGTTGCTAACTCTAAATATTCGGTGCAAATTGTTGCAGAATGCGTCTTAAAATGTCTGCATTTTGTCCATCTTAGGATAAAACACAATATAAGGTTGATCGTTTCAATCGGCAATGATCTGAGTGCTTATGGGCAAGCTCTGGGGAGGAATACATTTGATGCATCAGATACATTTATCCTGATCCTCATTGTTGTTTCTTAAGGCTCTAGTAGACCGTGAAATGTTATTACAATCACAATACGCTTTTTTCATTTATGTCGCACCACAGGTGGCTATGTGTGTGATGAACCCATTTGGGGATGATGATGAGGACTTTTGCACTTCTCGAATGCTGGATTACAATCTGGACATCTCGATGCGGTCAGCTGGTGCCTTTCCTAGTATGTACCCCAGCAGACTTCGGCCTATTCTTCTGCAGCGGCGTCGCATCCGCAACTCTGAGGAAGAGTCAGACGGCTCTCAAGACCCGACATTACTGGAAAGATACAGAGCGGACGGGCAGAAGAGAAGGCAGAGAAAAGTCAGAGCAGAGAAAGCGAGGGTATCAGAAGATTCCACAATGCGGGATGACTTCGGGGGGGATTATGTACTGAAGAGCAGATCGTCTGAGGAAGGTGGAAAGCGAAAAAGCTTCAGACGAAGATCAGGTAGCTGATAAAAAAATTACATTACATTCTCGCAATATACTATAGGCTTTCTCAAGATAACAATATCTGAGGGACGGTTTCACTTGGTTACGGTAAAAATAGGTTGGGCCTACATTTTATTCTCATTTTTCTTGTGTAGCATGCTAAAAACAGCAGGTTAGTTTGTTTGACTAGGTGGTCTTTATAGGTTACTGACCTATTAAAAGCCATTATGAGAATTTCTGTACAATAACCTGACAGAAGAGTGCTCTGTCTATTCCATTTGTACCCGAAGCAGGATGTCTCGTGGACTGCATAGCAGTATCAACCAACCGTATGGCGATAAGAATCAATCGCAATATTCTGTGGAGATCGATTTTGTAACCTCTTCATCAGAAACTTTCACATTAACTTGATGCCACCACATCATATTTACGTGTAATCATAATCACAATAACCAGAAATAATATGAGATGGCAAGTTGCTTTATTGAAAAGGAGGATGCGAACATTTCTGAATCTGTCATATCTCGGTAGATTGATTTGCTTCCAGATGGCGAACAATACTTGAAACTTATTATTTGTATTATCCACTCGATAGCCTAGAATTTGTGCCGTAAGGATTACCTAAATGCATCCTAAGTAATGAAAAATTCGCATCGAATACCGCTTTGCGGTACGTAACTAAGTGTGTCGATAAACGCCGCTGTTGCTAGCATCACAGAAATACCATTGCAACTGGGATTTTGCTTTTATACAAGCTTCACGAGTTTCCCGTTCAAAATACTAGGTTAGGTCATTATGCCCAACTGTCCAAATGTCTGTAATTG